TAACACATGGGAAGCTCTTAATTATTTAAATAAATATCAATGAAAAGCCTGGGAATGTTATTTCACAAGAATCTCAGATTCCTAAGAAAGTTTCTATATTATTAGTCTGTTGTGTGGAAAACCTCCATAATCATTTCCTCGAGCTACTGTGTCTGATCAGGATAATAGAAAAATGCCACAGCTATTACTGCATAAGTCGCTATTAACAATGCGCCTTCTAACCAATTAGATCTTCCGTCTGAAATATGAATTAGCAAAAGTATTCAAATACTGTATTAACCAAATACTGTATTAACAACATATAACAAAATAATAACTTACCCTATGTTATGAAACATTTTAAATAGGAATATTCAATTAATATTTAATATATTGAAAAGTAAAGAGTTTCAAGAAACGATAATATACCTGAACTAAATAATTTGTGAGTAAAACAGCAATGAATAAACAAATGGTTTCAAACGGTAAAAAGAATAGAGACATTGGTTGATGGATGATCCAACCCACAATCACCAGTAGTGGGGTAAGGAATAACGCAATTTGCTGTATATTCATTATGATGATAGAATTTAATTTTTTTTTTTTTTAAAAAAAAACATTGTGTTGTGCGTGACTTACGGTTGAACTTCCAACAGCAACACCAATAGCTAGATCCATTTTATTATTCATTGCAACGGTAACGGATGTTACATGCTATTAAAATTAGAGATGTAAGTATTTATAAGAAAAATAATTGCAACATTTAATAATGACGTTAGCATTTTTAATACCTCGGCAGCATTACCAACTATAGGTAGTAAAATCAACCCAATAAAAGTTTCACTTATACCAAGGGATTTGACAATTCCTTCTATCGATCCTACGAGAAATTCTGCAGAAAAAGCGGTAATCACAGTTGCTGCGATTAGCAAAATTAATGACGCTATCGAGCTTATGTGTTTTTCTTCGCTTTCCTCTTTCTTGTTTTCGCTTTCTTTGTTTTTATTTTTTTGTTCTCCGTTATCTGTGGTTTCTACGATTTCATTTCCTTGTTCTTCGCTTTCTGAGTTTCCAGATTTGTTGTCGGCGCTTTGTTTTGCAGGATCAAGTTTGGCTTCACGACTTCCATTTTCAGGGTCTTTTTCTCTTTCTTCTTTTACAAGAAATAGGACTTTATGGGTTTTTAACTATTTTAATAAAATGAAGTAAACTATAGAAAAATTCAAATGTAAAGTATTATGAGATAAATTAATTTTCATAATACCTGAAATAATAAATAAAGTATATATATAGCCAATAATATAATCGACGTTCCATAACTTATATGTAAAATCCTGTCATCAACCTTGATATTATTCTCACCGGAAGAATTAGCAGCTCCATTAGTAGTAGTAGTAGTATTTCCACCGTTGACAGTAAAGCTGAATGCAGCAGGCAAAATTAGAGTAATGCATGCCAAGGTCATCAAACTAGAACTAGCTTGTGCAGCAGTCGCACTGAACTCTTGTTCAAGTTGCCCCTCATTTTTTAACATAACAGAAATTCCACCGCAAAGAAAACATGTTCCTAATACTAATAGAATATTAGAAAGTACAGAACCTAGCACTG